GTTACTATATGACCAGAGAACAATAGCCTAGCCAGCTAAAGGAGAATCCCTGCTGATAAAACAATGCCCTTCTGCTGACAGAAAGCCCAAAGGCCAAGAAGCAAGGAAAGAACTTTTAAAGCTTGTAGAGCCTCAAATGCAACACTGTATGTAAAATCTTTAGTGGGTGTATCTCACAGTGATTGGATACTGGGAATTAGAATATTCACTATAGAAAAAGATACATTGGATTGTGACAAGAACTTTGCTCTCTTAGCTTTTCACTCTTAAACCTCTCTCTCTTAACCCCTCTCTTACCTCTTAACCCCTCTCTTACCTCTTGGCTCTTCTCTCTTACCCCTTTACTCCTCTCTCAGCTCCCCTCTCCCCCTCTCTTACCTCTTCCACTCTTCCCCTCTCTTACTCTTACCCTCTTGGTTTTTCCCCTCCTACCCCTTTCTTGTCTCCCCCCTCTCCTAAGCCTCCCTGGTTTCCCCCGCTCTCCCTCTGTTCCTCTTACTCCCTCGCTCCCCTTTTCCAACCTCTCCTTCCCTGCTCTCCCTGCTCTCTCCCCTCCCCTGGACCATGTGGACGCCAAGGCTGGTGGTGGACAAAGGTCTCCCCTCTCTTTACCCTTATAATAAATTGTTTATACCTGAACAGCTTGACCCTAGAGAAGTCTCTTACCGCAAGTGAGCATTTTACACAGCAATATCTAAGCAATGATTTCTAAACATTTATCCAAGCTTAAACAGCTTATTCCTAATTATCTAAGTATAACCTAATTAATCCTAATTAATTAACCTAATTAACCTAATTAACCTAATTAATCCTAATTATAACCTTTATAACCAGCGCTCGCCTGCCCCTGCAATACACAGGCACAGGGAGGGCGCTGCAGTTATTTACACAACAGAACAAGTAACATACCAAATTAAACACCCAGCACTATACCTCACTTTTGGAAACAAAACCTGGGCAGACACTTTAGTGTGCAAAACCCCTGTAAGAATAAAACCTGCTTTAAATATCTTAGGCATCAAGCCACAGACACGCCTATGAAATTCAGTGCAGCAGTGACAAAAAAAGGAATTATTTCCTTAACCTGTGAATAATCACCTCTAAGATTCTGTGATGCAGTTGCCACTGCACACAGCCACAAGCCGCCTTTTTATTAACAGGCAAAAGAACAAAGACAATCCCAATTTCTCCCTTCTTGTCTACAAAGAAACAGAGAAGGGAGAGATGCTTCTCAGAGGAGCATGGTAAAAAGACACATGGTGTAGAATATGGAACAGCTGGTGGTTCAGCATCTCTTCCACTGCAAGATCTAGGGGATATCTGATGATACCTTGGAGGCAGGAGTCACAAAAACTGCCGGAGAGGGAAGAGAAAGGAGCTCAACGCTATCTGCTCTTAGGTTTTAGCACTGTGACCTTTACCTTAACTTACAGTTATGTGTTTCTGACAGTGTAAATCCCTTTTGTTTTGATTTTAACAGAGTACAAGAATTCAGTGATGAAGTAACAGTGGCATACAGCCTTTAATTTCCCCTGGTCCTCTCACCCAGCAATGAGGTCTCACAACAACAATACAACAATAAATAGTTATAGAAGGTAACTCACTGTGCTGAAGAGTTCTTCAGAAGGATGGGAGCCACAATTGAGGCAGATCCTTGGACAGACAAGCCAGAGGTGTTTAGGCCTCGTGTTTCCTCCTTACCCCAGAACCAGCCTCTAAAGGGGAACACAAAGTTCACAGGCTTGTATTTGGAATTAATGCCATATAAAGAACAAAACATCCTAAAAAAGCTACATATCATACAAATAAACCAGCTACCTTCTTTGTGCCACTTTTCTGTGGAGCCACAACTTCACAGAAGTAATCTTGTTCTATCAATACAATGTTTTATTATTGATGGGCTTGTTGAAATCAGCGGGAACTCCAAGCACCCAGATATTCACAGCAGGCAAACATCTCTCTGAATACAACTGAAAAGGCCAGAAGGGCTGCTCCATGTTACCTCTGATAGCCACGTTTGTCTCTAGAGTACATCAGATGATCAATGCACGGCCTTGAAGCTATTTTTTTTCCCCCTGTGTTCCTCCTTTCCATCCTTCTGCGTAGCCTTGTAGCAGATAAATCTGTTCAATAAAGGGCCCAGCTGACTGTGAGCAGAAGGCAAAGCAGAGGATTTGTCAGCATGAAAACCCACACTGCAAAGATGAACGAGCATCAGGGGCAGTTAAAAATCTGCTAGAAATTAGTGCTAATGTCACACTACCCTCTCTTCCCTGTTTTCCATATCCAAAAGGAAAGTAAGTTGTGTGTGAGCCAGAAAAGCTAAAAGGGTCGGGCAATGTGCTCACCTGCCATCCCACACAGCTCGGTGTGACTTAATGCACCAAACACAAGGGAATCGTTTCCAGCTGGGCAATAGACACCACGAAGCACACAGGTTTTCAGTGCTGTCAGCAGCTGCAAGGGGAGGATTGCCTCCGAGAAACATACCAAAACAATGAAAATAAAAAAAAAAACAGATTAGCATCTATTTCCATCACACATGTTTAAATTTATATACTATATTCATTTATATATGACATGCAATATATAAAGTATCAAAATATATTATTTTAACATGTATACGTATGTTATTATATATTAAATATATTATATACATTTTAATTACATATATTTATTATAAATATAATACATATATTAAAATCAATATATATAATATATATATTAAATACAAATCTGTTTGTATATATTGGCATTACTTATATATCTTTACTTTTCTGGTTGCACATATGTCTATATCTTTATATATTTAATATACATTTCTATGTTTTTTATTTTTGTTGTATTTATTTAAAAGCCCCAAAGCTAACCTAATAAAAACCAAACAGTCCCTTTATATTAAACGGTATTTAAAAATATTTTAATACATATTTTTTATCATATTTATATACCTTGTTGATATACATAACACATAACATATCCTAAAATATATCATATTACCATCTATATATACAGAAATCATATTATAGATTATAAATCAATATATATGTATATATTTCTATTACTTATTTTTACGCCTACATATATATGTCTATATATATATATTCAGTCTTTAAATATTTTATTTATTTTTATTTTTTTTATTTATTTAAAAGCCCTGCCTCTAACTAAATAAAAACCAAGCATCCCCTTTATCTTCAATATTTTTTAATATCTATTTTGATCATCTTTATACTTACAGGTATATACTCGGTTGATAACCTGCCCCCGCCCCGCCCACCGCTCTCACCGTTCCGGCACACAGAGCAGCCGCCTCCTCGGGCTGCTTCCGTCCCAGGGCCGGGGAGCGACCGTTCGGTCCCGATGCCATTGGGGTTTCCGCCATTTTCCCGGGCCGTGGGGGAGAGAACGGAGCGAGAGCAGCAGCGGCGAGGTACGGGTCGTCGCGAGTGCCAGAAGCCCCAGAACGCGGCTGCGGCAAGGACCCCGGCAGAGAGAGGCGTCTTCACCGCTGCCTGTCGGCGCCCGACTGGCTCGTGCCCGGCCCCGGCACCGCCGAGCGCACAGCCCGTGTCCGCATGGCCGGAAAAGCCGCGGAAAATTGCGCCGGAGCGGCATCGGTGCCAGGGTGTTTGTCAGGCAGTCGAGCGCACGCACCCACCGCCCGGGGTCCTTCCATTTTCCCGCCTTTTTGGCCACCATCCTTGGAAGGTCAAGCCGGCCACGACTGGGGAGCCATCTTGTGCGTGGCGTGACGTCACTTCCGCCCTTCCTCGCTGCCATCTTTGTTGTGGCTGAAGCCACTTCCGGTCGAGTGGCCATCTTTGTTATGGCACAATTAAGGCCCCCGCTACTCTCAGCGCGTCTGTCTTACTTGCCTGAACGAAAAACCTGCCGACACCGACCGACTCCAAGCACTCCGCCCGATTTTCCGCCACCTTTCCCGGGGCGAGGATGATGGCGGCGGGGCTCAGCGGCTCCGTAGCTGGGTGGCGGCTGTGCCTGTGACGGCAGGCATTGGAGTCAACGCCTCTGCCGGGGTCCTCCCGGCTGGCTCCTGCGGGGGTGGGGCGGTCCTGAGGCGGATCTGTTTGGCTCGGCTCTTTCCGGCCCGCTTCGGCTCAGCTCGGCCCCGCCAGGCCCCGCCCCACCCAGCTCGGAGCACAGCTGCAGTACCGCTCTATGCCCACAAGGCTGCAGCACTGCCACAGAGCTCAGCCAAGGGTGGGCGGGGGGTTCCCCTGCACGTGCAGAGAGGCGAGGCAAGAAACCACGTGTGCAACCCCCTTCCAAAAATTCTTCTCTGAGGAACGCCCCAAAAAACGCCCCCATCAAAACTTAGCAAGCCCTGCCTCTAACCAAATAAAAAACAAAATACCCCTTCATTTAAATGTATTTAATATTTATTTCTATCATATTTATCTATATTTATGCACATAGATATAATGCATAATCAATATAAAAATATATTAACATCTATCCATATATTTTTCATATTGAATATTAATCTACTTGTCTAGTTTTAGATTACTTGTATTTATTTGTTTTTATTTCAATTTATATATATATATATCCCCATATTTATTTCTTTATTATAGATGTGTATATTTTCATTTCTATATTAATCATTTAAAAGCCCTGCCTCTAAGCCTCTAACCAAATAAAAAACAATTAAACCCTTATTTTAAATGTTTTTAATATCTATTTCTATAATATTGATCTTCCATATTTATACACACAGATATAATGCATAACAGATATTAAAGTACATTACCATCTATCTGTATAGCTTTCATACTGATTATTAATTTACTTGTCCAGATTTGGATTACTGGTATTTATATTTTTTTTATGGCTCTATCTATCTATCTATCTATCTATCTATCTATCTATCTATCTATCTATCTATCTCCCTATATTTATTTCGTTATTATAGATGTGTATATTTTCATTTCTATATTATTCATTTAAATGCCCTGCCTCTAAGCCTCTAACCAAATAAAAAACAAAAAGTCCCTTCATTTAACTCTTTTTAATATCTATTTCTATCATATTGAACTTCTTTATTTATACACATAGATATAATACATAACAGATATTAAAATATATTATATTAGCATCTATCCATATAGTTTTCATACTGATTATTAATCTACTTTTCTAGACTTGGATTACTTGTATTTATTTTTTTTTTTATCTCTCTCTCTATATATATAGATCTATCTAGCTTCCCTATATTTATTTTTACATGTATACATTTATATATTTCTCTTTCTAATGTTCTGCTTTCTGAAATTTGCATTTCTTTCTCTTGGAAACTCTCCCAATTCATTCAGCTAACACGTCAGAATGACAAAAATATAAATCCCTACTCAACCCCGAGTTCAGAACGCGCTCGTCTCTATGGACCTTAGGCACAGAAATTTCTCTCGGTGCATTTTAATACCTCAGGGATGCACAGATGTGTTTTATACACTCCCATTTTACAGGGAAGTAAGAGGTGGAAAGACAAAACCCACTTTCTTAACCCTCAGCCGTTCCTGACATAACAAAACCCTAACGACGGAGTGCACAGAGAGGGGGTTCCTTTCCAAGGGAATTTAGAGAGGTCAATTCCTGTTCCGTGCCAATACCTACTGTAAAAACCAGAACAACTCCACAGGTTTTTGGATTTCTGCACCCAGCCCTCCCAGGGAATTTCCTGGCAGCTCGGGGTCCCCTCTGGGCAAGGGTACCCAGCAAAAGCCCTCCCCATTCCCCGCTCACCTTGCTCCTCCAGCGCAGTGTGTCCCTCCCTCTGGTGGGGACCTCAGCGTGCCCCAAGGGACACGGGAGCCCCCCAGTCTCCACCCTGTCCCCAGCCTTTGCTCCTCACCCCCAAAGAAGGCACAGAACAACTCCAACTGCCGTGGACAGCAGCACCTTGCTTTATTGGAACTCTTTCTAGGTCTAGACTACAGGGCTGGGGTGATGGTGTTGCCTTCTGCATGCCTTTCCTTTGTGGACACAAAGCCCTGAAGCAACCAGGATCCTCCTGAGAGGGCCACTCCATTCCAGCAGCAGTGGAATGGTGGTGGTTGTGTTTTTCTGGTTCACATTTGGTGCTGTGCATTTATTTTTAGGTAACTATGGTGGTTCATGTGTATTTCTGGTTCGATATGGTGGTCTGCAGATGCATTTTGGGTTGAATATGGTGATGTGCATTTATTTGTGGTTAAAAATGGTTGTGCTCATGCATTTCTGGCCAAACGCGGTGCTGTACATTTGTGTGGTTTCTGGATGCTGTGCCACGTGTGTTTTGGTGGGCCTGTGTGGTGTGGTTTATTTGGAGGGTTGTGTGGGTTGGTTAGTGGATGGTATGGTGCCATGCATGTGCTGATGAGGTGTGGTTTATTTGGAGGGCTGTGTGGGTTGGTTAGTGGATGGTATGGCAGTGTGCATGTGCTGATGAGGTGTAGTTTATTTGGAGGGCTGTGTGGGTTGGTTAGTGGATGGTACAGCAGTGTGCATGTGCTGATGAGGTGTGGTGGATTTACATGGCTGCCGTGATGTATGTACTATTTATTGGAAATATTGGCAATATGATTTTGGTGAACATGGCAGGGGTGTTGCTGTCATCCGTGACCTTGCAGTAGGGGGTGAAGCAGCATATATAACATATAAGCATATATAACATCTATACATATCTTATTCATATTGAATATTAATCTACATGTCTATGTTTATATTACTTATATTTCTTTTTTATATCTATATCTTAATGTATTTATTATAGATTTGTACATTTTAATTTCTATATTTCTTATTTAAAAGCTCTACCTCTAACCAAATAAACACCAAAGAGCCCCTTTAACTGAAATGGTAATCAAACATTTTTTTAATGTCTATTTTTATCAAATTTATATTTATATACTACATTGATATATGTATACTGCACAGTAGATATTTTTCCTGGTTTAGGGTAAATTTGGGAGAAAAGTTTTGAACGGGGTTTTTAATAAAGAAAATTTAAGTGGTTTTTTTATTTTGTTTAATTGGTTTGGGAAGAGATTTCTTTGGAGGAAAATTGAAAAAAATGTTTATTTAATGAGTAAAGTATTTATAATTATAAAAAAATGAATAATAAATAATAAAATTAGTTGTTGTTTGAAGAGATGGTCAATTTAGAAAGTTCTTGTTGTAGTTTTGTTTGTTTAGTTATATATCAGTTTTTTTGGTGTTGCAAAGTGTTGAGGCCCAGACCCCCAAGGGCTGGATGTGTGAGTTTTTGGTCTTTGGGTTTTAGTTTAGAGTACATTAGAATGGAGGAGAAAGAAAAAATATATATAGTTTGGACAAT